TCTTTTTTTTTTTTTTTTGTGTAAAATCATAAAACATTGTTTATTTCCAGGTTTAACTGCAAAAAAATCCAGATTTTCAGTGTGATCTCAGATGTTTGTACACAACTGCACACATACACATACCAAGTCACAAAATGAAGTGTAATTGCATGAGTACACACACTATGCTACAACTGAAGCCAAAGTACGACATCAGCCATGAAGGAAATTAAAAAAGTGAGTAATAGGCAGTGAATGAATGTCTTGTTCCTAAATTATAGTTGCCATTCACCAATAAATCCTCAAAAATTCCACAGCATTCGGATGCCTTGCCCACGGTTCATATTCAATTTTCAAAAACCTCTTTCACACGCACACATTGATTTTGATTTAACTTGCAGCTGTCATGCACGCAAGCACATCCAAACCACAGGGCATCCGTGTGCACATCTTCTGGAAGCAACAGGCACAAGTGTCAGATTGGAGTAGCCTAAACAGACTTGAGCAGCACAGCTGTGGGGAGAGCGTCATTCACTGCCAGAGAGTGCTGAGCATGAGTACACACACTATGCTACAACTGAAGCCAAAGTACAACATCAGCCATGAAGGAAATTAAAAAAGTGAGTAATAGGCAGTGAATGAATGTCTTGTTCCTAAATTATAGTTGCCATTCACCAATAAATCCTCAAAAATTCCACAGCATTCGGATGCCTTGCCCACGGTTCATATTCAATTTTCAAAAACCTCTTTCACACGCACACATTGATTTTGATTTAACTTGCAGCTGTCATGCACGCAAGCACATCCAAACCACAGGGCATCCGTGTGCACATCTTCTGGAAGCAACAGGCACAAGTGTCAGATTGGAGTAGTCTAAACAGACTTGAGGAGCGCAGCTGTGGGGAGAGCGTCATTCACTGCCAGAGAGTGCTGAGCACACGCTGAATGTGCTTTTCATATGAGTGGCAACAGCTTGCACAACTCTCACACTGAGCAACACAGGACCAGATGCTCCTACTTGAGGTAAACACTTGTTACCACTTGGGTCAATCCTTAAGCAGATCCAATGATCATCTGCAGTAGTGCAGTAATGTGATAGTTCAGTGCCATGCTCTGTTCTCACCTCAAGGCGATGCTGTAGGATTCAGGGTGGATGCAGGTTTGGTCCAGTGGGTTAAACTTGTTAGAGGCGCTCCCAGAGCCCTTGACTTTTTTCTTCTCAGCTGTCTGTTTCAGAGGAACCTTGAGGCCTTCGTTCCCTCCAGAGTCAATACTACTTGAAGCACAATTACAAAAAACATTGAGAATAAAATGTCTGATTTATAAATTTGCTTTTACATGTGATTAGTGGCCTACGAATTGTATTGTGTATATCTTAAATATTTCTTTTTCATTTTTTAGACATTGTGGTAAGCTGTGCCACTTTTTAGTTGCCTTCTACAAGAAGAAATCAGATCTTTCAATTCTGATGATATCATGATGCATTATAATACATATGGATGAGATTATGAGATTATCAACTGAAATTAGAAGAAAGCGTCTATAACATATAACTATACAATTAAAAAGTAAAAAATGGTCAAGTGACACAACTTGCCTTACGTTGCCCCAAAAATAAGAATATAAATGATAAGTACATGAGTAAAATAAAAACAATCCCTTTCCAAATTATTATTTTCTGCACAGCAATTATATTTTCATCAGTCAGCCAAAAGGTTTAATATTCAGAAAAATTTAATGCAAAAGTCAATTTAAGTCAATTGTTTTTAAACATTGTTTAAAAGCACTTGTGATATTAAACGTACTAATAATTATTAATAATATTAATTAAATTAATAAATTAATTAAAGCTGCAGTCCGTACATTTTGCCTCTTTGTCGCCATCTGTTTGAAAACCTGGAATTGCAGCATTGCGGAATTATCTAGCTTGCCTGTGTTGTGAGTCCGCACGGCTCCAGCGCAGATGAATCGAATGTTCTGAAGAGATTGTGTGGCAGTCAGTCACCGCACCGGTGTGGATATTTACTGTACTTCGCAATCACAGATTCTAGCCTACGTCTTGGAATATGACCCAAATAAGAATTTTCACCGTATATTGCCATCTGAACAAGTAAGTAACAAGTCTGCCACGTTTGTTCTGACCAACTGAGGAAAAAAGCATTACCATAAATATAGCTACCAATGGTGATTAAATCTAAAGATCGGTTAGCTCATATCACATATAACCGTTCAAATTATTATTATTGTTATACTTTATTCTCAAATGATTAATGTTAACATCAGAAGCCCATTTATAACTGGAATATAATTTAATTTCATTCACGTGTTTCATAAACTCATAATCCTTTATGGATTACAATCCGCCATCAAAATTATACATTTAATTATTCTGGCTGCTGTGAGAAAAGGCTATAAATGATCAGCCACCTGCAGGATCCTCACATGTGATAGCCTATAGTAGCCGGGACAACTTCTTTATGTTTACAGACGTGACGTAATGATGCAGCGGCATGCTCGAATTTCCCGCGAAAACCTACCCGTACCACTCAAATTAGAAAACATTATTATAAGCTAACCGTTGTGAATCGGGCTAAAGTAAGGCGATAGTTTTGAACACTTGCTGGTTATGTACTTGCTCAAATATTGATTTCGGATTATTTTTAACCAAAAAAAGTTACGGACTGCAGCTTTAAAATTAATTAACAATTGCAATAGTATTTTTGGCATTTGGAGGCAAAACTCACCATTACTATTGGTTAAGCCACTGGCACATCTTAACCAAAGCACATATGAAAAATGTTTAATTTAACAACTCATGGCTAATTTTAGAGAAATAATTTATATCATTTTGCACACTGGCATTTTAAAAATATATGGTAATGTGACAAAACATTTTTTATTTCAGATTAAGGGGGCGACACATCTTATCCCGCTCACCACTACATGGTATAAAGGTAGCTTGGTGCAAAAACATGTAACTGTAGAAGTGGCATGAATCGGCCGTGTACCTGCGTACTGTCTCAGGGTTGATCCTGATGAAGCCGGCACACTGTTGAAAGCTCTTAGGACCGAGGCCTTTGACCAGTTTCAGCTGTTCTCTGTTGAGAAAAGGCCCATTCTTTTCTTTCCACTCCATAATACTGCGTGCTCGCCCTGCGTTCAGACCTGCTATGTGCCTGATAAAACAAAACACATAACTTAAAAAAAGGAAAATCTTACCTGAACATTCAAAACAAATATGATTTAAAAATGTTTTTATGTTTTCTACATTTTTTCACTAATGGGCTAGGCTAGCAAGTATTGCTATTTTTCTCCGAAGTTCAGAAACGTCATCCTTAAAGACACCTTTTATGCTTTATCCAATGAAACTTATTAGGTCACAATATTTAAGTGATTTAAGTGATTCTTGAGTCAGATATAACAGTTATTCGGTACAAAAAACCTAAACTTAATCTCTCACATTTTCCCGCTTGACCAGCAGGTTCAATTCCTGTTTGTTTTCGGAATTAGTCATTGCTTTATATGTCAATACCCAGCATTAACCACACATCCTGAATGAAGAGCTTCACAGAAGTCCACCAAAGACCATGGAAATTCCTTTTCATATTTATGTAATCCCTACATGTTCACAAACAAGAAGTCAGATATTAGTAAAATATTGAGAACTTTTTCCAGCAGAATTACCAAATGGCTGCTTAAGATCTTATAATCTTTTTGACCTTTCCATACAAAACAGAAAGGCATTGAGATTTTATTTTTTATTTTTTGTGGGACGGTATGGGCAATTCGAAGTGGCAGCTCCCCTAAAAGCAGCTATGTAAACATTGTATGTCATCACTTATAAATAAGGGGTGAATAATACTGGAGCCACGAACACGTCGTCTGGGGCTCTGGTACTGAGAACTCATTTAAAGTCAGGTAAACAGATGACCTGATCCCTACCTCACGGGCATTTAACCCTGCCTCTTAATGGGATCACACAGCTTTCCAGCTCTGAATAGTGATGTATAGGTGTCTAAGTACACCATAAGTTAAAGGCATAATCCTAAAGAGTCAAATATAGAAATCTGATCTTTGTGAAATGCATGCATTTCAGTCTAATGCTTACATGTACCTGAATGAATGCATTGATGAAATATGGAAGTGTACGTGCTTCATCAAAATATGTTTTAAATTCACTTATACTAACTTCGTGTTAAGCGAAGGATTTTTTTTTTAAAGAATAAGCTGTGTAAATGAAAGCTAACCTTTCGAAGGCACATCTAGCGGCATGATCCTGATTGTATTGCGGAAATATATTATTGCACGTCACTGTTTTCCGTAGTGCAAACAATTTGCAATTACTCACAAAATCCTACAAGGTATTAGGCAGAGCGAGTGGATGTAATGAATGTGTACATTTCGGTGTTTCTGTAAGTTTATGTGACTAATATTTGAGGCTATATATCTAAATTTGTGTATATGTTAGCGAGCAGCAATGTTTGTGTATGTAGATCACAATGTTTGTGTGTAGTGGGAATGTGAAAAGACGTTACGGTGCGTGCGTCTCTGAGTGTGTGTGTGCGCGGCATGTAGGGTGTCAGACTAAACAGAGTGCTAAGCAATAACGGGGAGGCGAGTGAGAAGTTGCCATGTTGTGACTTCTGCTGGAAAGTATTTGGCCTCTACCTCATCAGCGTCTCTGAACAGATGTTGATGTCCACTCCCACGAAGCTCACACACTCCTGCACCACCCCATCCAGCGCTGCCCTCAGCAAACTCTGTGACACGTCGTGCTGGAAACAGTGACCACAGTCTTAGAACGTGTGTTTGTGTAAGAAAGGAGAAGGAAGGGCTCTGTTTTTGACCTGGGCTCTGAAAATGAAATCAAACACCTTGAAGATGTTTTTCTAGTATGTTGACTTGATTCAATCGCAATTTTGACGTACATTAAAAGTTCACTAAATCGCTATGGAAATAATTAAAACAGTAAAAGTTCTACTCCGTGTCTTTTGAAATGTCAAGAACTTGCGATATCTCAGCAACAAATCTTGCTGTCTCAGTCACTTTCCAAAAACAAGCCACTTTGCAAGGCCAATGTTGTGTCATTGGCAATCAAACGGTAATCCTAAATACTTTGCGGTGTTCATGCTGGTCTGAGGGGGAAAAAAGAGACGGCAGAATAAAAAGGCAGCCAGTGGATTGCTTTGCCTCAAGAGACACGGAGAGAAGGTCTGAGGCTGTTTTCATTGGAAAGCATCTGTGACACTTCAAAGTCCTCTCACAGGGGTTTTCCATTAAGTGCAGGGAATTGATAAAGTTAATCCAGCCAAACTTTTCACACTTTGGAGGCGGTTTTCTAAAATGGAGATGGAATTCAAAGCAAAGAAAACCGCAAGGCCAAATTCAAAACTGACCAAAATTAGGAGCAAGCAGGGAATTCTGACAAGCCTTTGTCTGTCTTGCATTGGGACCAGTATCCATATGGAAGAAGTTAGACCCGTGCTTGAGACCTGCTAAGAAGAATGTGCAATTCTTCATTTGGGAAAACTCATTACAATGAACAACTTCTCTACTTTTACAAGATTTTCATTTTCATGTACTAGTTACAGTCCACCATGGACAACATTCAAATTTAAAGTTGCGATAAATCGGAAGTAGCAACAGGTCTTTTCTCTCATATCATGATGTACATCAGAGTGAAATGTATTATCAAAAAAAAAAAACATGTAGGGCAATGATTGGAGATTGTTGACTGGATGTTTTAAGTGCAGAAGTCTGGCATATGTCCCCAGACAGAAGTCTGAACAAACATAAAAATAAAAAAAAATATGAAACATATGCATACATAATTCATTCACAATAAGATCAATAACATGGATTTAGAAAACAGATGAACTTCCATTTCATGCCGACTTTAAAGTGCCCCTATTATGGGTAATGAAAGGTTCATATTTTGGTTTTGGGAGTCCCCAACAACAGGTTGACATGCATGCAAGGTCAAAAAACAATTTCATTGTCTTACAATATGCATTTATTTTTACCTATTTGCTCAGCGACTCCTAAACGATTCGTTTAACGATTCATTTTTCCAAACCCCTCCTTTGCTTGACGCTAATCTGCTGTGATTGGTCCGATTGATCTCATTTTCATTTCATCATGCCTGTAATGCCTGATAAAGCAGCGTTTGTGAGCGCAGTGCTGCTTTCAGTGCTTTGTGTACAGCATTACCGGGGAAACTGATTGACTGACTGACTGATGCAAGTACATAGCAGTTAAAGACACCTAATATAAAGTAACCAAAATCTAAACTTTATACTGTACATCTATGCCTCTTTAAAATTTTTAGAGGTCAAAAGACTTCTCTAATTTTCTTTTTAATTAGGGGAAACCCCAACATTTAAAAGAACAGCAAAAGACAGTTTATGGTGGTTTGGGAGTGTACGACATGTATTGCCCGTTCTGTGTACTTTTCTGTGTGTAAATTTACAGTGTAAGTAAGATCTAATGCTTTCAAGTTCTATTTGTGTGCACTAGTGTGTCATTGTGTTTGTGTGAATACAAATTCAGTATATTAAACAGACTGAGAAGCCCACAGGCCTCTTATAACTAACTCAAAATACACATTCAACCTCCCTTGTGCACACACGAATACACACAGGCAGAAATAATAAACAAAGACATAGACGATATATTTCCCTCATATTTAGATATAGTGGATTACTTTCAGAGAGTGTCAGTGTTTGAAATTACACAACCAATGGGAAAAAGTAAGAAGTGGGTCTGAGATGGTGTGGATCGGGATACTTTATCCTAATATCTTATATTAAAGACTGACTGTTAATATCCTTCCATGGCAATCATGTTTTACATTAAACACAGAGCGACGCAATGTGCTAGCTAAAGAACTGCTTTCCAATGTAATAAAATGCAGTACATTTGGACTGTGAAAATGTGTCCATCAAAACTAGAGAACGTCAAAGTGGTCTTAAAAGCAGATGTTTCTTTTAAAAAAAAATTCACCCTCAAAACAAATGTTGTTGCCTAGAGAAATTTGATATTGTAAACTCATAAGCAGATCTGCCTGTTTGTCCACAAAACACATGTCTGTCGAAAGCAGGCACCAAAGCACTCCAAGAAGAGGTGTGATAAGAGATGTTATGGGATAAGCAGACTTCTCTCTTCTTTGATGGCTGAAAGAATTTTGTGCATGGGTTGAAACTAAATATTAATAAACAGGAAAAAAATAAAATAAAATATTTTGGATTGGAATAGGGTACTTCATATAAAAGTATGACTTCAAGGAACCATGTTTTCTTGCAGTGCAATGGAGTTGAGGTGCTCATTTCTTTGTTGACAAACAGAGTGATGGAATAGTATCCTATTAGATACGACTGAATAAAGATAAATAGACACGGATTAGACCAACATAATGGTAACATCTGTGGGTTAAGGATGACTATATTACTATGAGATACTGAATGACTGCTAAGCAGTGGAGTGGTTGAGTTGAGCGGGTTATAGCAAAGAGCAGAATGTGTGTTTTGACCTGACAGGATCCAGATGACTGCCACTGGAACAAGGACGTCTGTGTGATAAATACTGTCTAGCCATATACAATGGAGAAATCTTATCCAAGCTTTATCCAGAAAATCGTTCATCACAGACTGGTAGAGAATCACACTTTTCTGCACCAGGTTGTGCACTTGATTAAAGTTTCAGTTAACATAATTAGTAGGGCTGCACGATAAATCGCATGCGATATTTAATGCGCATCTTGTCAGAAAGCCGGTTCTGTAATCAGCGGTAAATCACCATCACCTGCGTGCTTTCACATTGAGCAGCATTAACTACACAGAGCCGTTGTT